TACACTCGTTGCAAACGCATAGATGCGCTTAAAACTTCAGCTAATATGTAAACGTTGTTTGAATTGAAATGAATTTTATGTTCGTGTCAATTTTTCCCGTTGAGTCTGTCCCCCTTTCAGCTCGTTGAGTGTATTTGCTTTACTGAACAGACCAAAGTTTTCCATGCTTTTTATGCGCCATGGTACCTGTCACTGCCATACAGGTTTTTAGCACAGGGACTCGAGCAAAAAGTGCAGTCACGCATCCTCGACTAAACGGAACAAACAGAAAATTCAGCGTTAGATCTGACGGTCCGCTAGAAGCTTTCTAACCAAAACGACACAGCTTGAAGCTTTCAATCAACTAGCGCTGTTATGGCTTGCGCAACGAATGAATGGTAAAGCAAGGATCCATTCGAAACTGTTGCACTAATTCGCTCTTTAGTGTTTTAACTTATAATCCCTTGTCATCTTTACCATAATTGACGTTTTACTTTGCGTCACGTGTTAACCTCCTTGCATTTCAATGGCAATGTTAAAGATTATTGTTTGAGTTCCGCAAACCAAAAATTAATATATCTTCTATTAACCCTTTATGAGATGCCTAAAAGGAAAATACGATGATAGAAATTTTAAAAACACTTAAAGGCAGGAGAGAAAGACAGCAATAGTTATGGCAATATCATTATACGCTAGAGCCCATCCCATATTTCATGTAATCTTTCAGTGACTGCTAAGGAACCACTTTTAAAATTATTTTAATACTTACCCAAGCAAAGACAAAGCTGGAAAGACAACAACAAATAAATGCATTATATTTATGAGGGCAAGTAACGAGATAACAATGGTAAGTGCCATTTTAGTAGTGCGACTGTGACAATCATTTGCCTTGCATAGAGATTTTACTTTCGATGATTATGCTGTAGAGCAACGTGATTGGAATTTATTAGTGATTTAAAATGTACAGTAGTTACTGTAACGTAGATGAAGCGGTTGTTTTGTTCGTTGATAGCTGAACTGAAAAATAGCATAAAATTATTTGTTTCTGCCCAATGCGAAACGTGGTCAGTCAGATAATTGACCAATAGCAACGTTTCGTTTTGTATCTCACGAGGGGGTAGAGGTGATGACAGGATTTGACGATCGCTTTGGTCATCTGCAGTAGAGGTAGTGTGTTTATGGCCGAGAAGACTCTCTTGTAGTAATAAACTGTTTCTGTTCTGTTTTTGCCTTTATATCAAGGTATAGGTTATTACGCCTACGGTAAGTAAATATGCGTAACTCAAAACACCTGATATGTTGACCTAGTGACAGTGTCTATTTTCTAGACACCCAGAACGTCATACAACAACTGTCTGTTTAAGTGTCTCTCTGAAGGCGTCTATGAAGAAACTAGCAATACGATAAATCTGGCTTGCTGTAATTGCATTTACTACCATGTACCCAGCAAATGAACTTTCATTCTTCATGTCCCTGCAAAACTGCCAAACAGTAACAACTTTAAGGACATCGTTCGAGATAAACCCTCCGTTGCTCAAGTCAATAAAATGATGCTAGTATGTCCCTAAATTCCCAGGAACTTTGACCTACGTATGCATCTAATAAATATCTATAAGTAATACGGAAGTACAAAATGTAGTGAAACTAGATTTGATAGAATTAAGTTCAGTGTCTTTTTATAATTTTTATCAGTATCAGTTATCAATGGATATCACGTTGCTTTATCTCATCCCAAATCTTCGGGTCTTATGTGGCTTTTAAGGCGCTGGTAGGATTAAGTTATGTTCAGCGCATTTATTCCTTTTTATCCTGATAAAACTTTGTGTTTTCATTCCTTTCAAATGACAGTCGTTCTCATAGCTTGCCCAAAATACAGTATTTTCGCTTTAGTATGTTTCCAAGAAGCGAACGTTAAGTCTCAAGTTGTTTTAAGGTTTAAGCATTTACTTGCAAACTCATTAAAGAGGTTTTTAGTAGTCGTCTGAGGGATCACATCTTCGGCTCTTTAGTACATTTGTGCATAGTATCCTCCATGACACAGCAGTAGCATCAGTTGTTTACAAAAAGATATGATACGTATGAACTTCCGCGAGTCAGTTAAATCATTAAAGTTCGATGTACTTCGTGACGCGCTCTAAACTAGTATCTTTCGATGTATCACATTTCTTCATGCAATAATTTTTCTCTGTTCCATTGGAAGTATTTATTGGGAGTTGATGGTCTTCTCTCCGAATTCCCTCGCTTTTATACTGTTCGAAACGCATCCAAAATCAGCGTTGCCTGCACAAGTTTCTTTTTTGAGTCCATTTTGGCTGCGTCTAATGCAGCGGTTTCCAATCCATTTGTGCTTGATTATATTTCAGCATTTTCACTTCACAAAATAGGCCTGCTGCAGCGGTTCTTCAAGTTGTCCCTTCAGATTAGCCAGATGGAAATCGTTCACTGCTTCATCTCTGACTATACGATTCACCTATGTCCATAGCCTTACATGATGAGGTGTTGATTGAAGCCACAGTTTATTTCTGAACGGATTTTGCAATTTTAAAATACTCATACTCGTTGTTAACTATCACCTATTATTAAGACCTGCCAATAATCGGCGACGAATCGTACCGTTCACAACACATCTGCCATTTTTCGAGCATTTCAGATTCTCCCTGTAAATACTGCCTGCCCAGCTTCTGATATAGTTTCCCCACCATCATGTTGGACGACCGACCGGCGTGGTCTGTCCGTCGGTCCGTAATCTGCCAGTCGGCGATCACCACCGATCATCTGCCGTTAGTGAGCCGAGCTTTGTGCCCGGTTTTCCCGAGAAACGCACAGTCTACTGAGGCCCATTTATTCGTCGTGTCATAGCGCATAAGCTTCTTGCCACAAGCTGGTAGGGCTGACCGTAATCCGCGATATTTTGTACAGAGGGGTCCCCAAATTCCATGAGACTTTCATCGAAGTCTTAACTTCTGACCTTACTTGAATCGACCGCTAACCGCACGCTACCGATGACATTGCAAGGAGCTGGTTGCTTTTGCCTCTTCATGAGAGTGTCATGAAAAAATGTAAGTTTTTCCGAAGGAACGAATTTATCGAGATCGAGCCCACCCACGGCCTGAGAGTCTCATTTATTTGCAACTGCTCGTAGCTAACCTCCATATCTGAAGGTTGTTCCTCTCTGCGCAGCCCGCGACCGTACTACATGGTGAATACTGGAATCGCCGCAGTTTCAAGGCGTGGTCAATCTGACTGCATATCTTTTCGAATGGACGCTGATATATGTCCTCTTTTCATGTCGATGCTTGACCTTGAGAAACAGCATTCGTTACACCTACTATCTATAGCTGCAGAAACTTTTCAAGTTTTCTCACACATCGTCCACCTATCGCAAGCCCTTATCTCCATCACTCCTGATGATTTCGAAAATTCAATTTGACTCTCCATCATGAACTCTAAATCTTAGTTTCCGGTTCAACGGCTTATGGCGCATGATAAAGGCTGAGGTTGCGAAACCTTTTTCCACAGTTGTCAACTTTTCAGCCACACAACAGCATCCCTTCATTGTTTCTGTCACAGGTGTTTCGATGAAGCCCTTACATTAAAATCACACGTTAATAATATAATTTTCTGCTTGGGGCAACGTCTGCAGTTGGTCATTGAATCCTTCATTAAGTTTTTACGTTTTGGCCCGTGGTCTGCATGTACATCTGAATAATTGTGATGTTGACTGAGAAGTCTTATATACACACTGCTATCACGCGGTCCTTTGACAGTTTGCGAATTTTTTGACCGACTGCAACATATCAACATTTACCATGATTTTAACCATTATCGATTCATAATCACTTCCGCACTGTGCACGCTTGCTGGCTATAATATGTCCTCAAGTAGACCATGCTTAATGCTGATCGATGCATAAATTATCTAATTATCAGTTTGATTGTTGTTCTTGTTCCAGGTACTCTTCGGTATGTCTAAAATGAAAGCATGGGTGTCATGTATTGAATAATCAGGTTTCACTGTTACCGTTAGTCTAT